TCGGCGGCTATGTAGGATGGCCTGCTATATTAAAATAATGCGTTAAAAACTCTTCCCCACCGCCGCGGGGCCTGCACATGTACAGGAGGCTACCAACAAACTATCAAAGCAACTAATCTCTAAGCAGATCCTAGGGTGGCATAAGTCAGTATCAAATGATAACTTAGTAACTTGGTAGCCAATTTGATAACTGTCTTATGCCACCCTAGGAATAGGATGTGTATTAGACTAAGAACTCACACAGATACAAATAAAGTTACAGGAAGAGCAGGGGAAGAGGTAGATCTACTCGTGACTATCTAAATGAAGGTTCAACTATATTGTACATAATTTCCAACCAAAAAAATACTACTTTCATAAATTTTTGACTAATACCAAGATCTAATATTGTCTCCAGTTCAATCTTGATTCAGAACGACTTCTACTATACCAAAACACAGATGAACTAAATATTATCCGAAGCTAATAATCTCCAAGCAGATTCCGTCATGGACAAGGCATGATCAAATTGGCCACTAGTTACGATAGGAGTCTATGGGGGCCAATTTGATCCGATGATGCCTTGCCCCTGACGGAATACTATCTACCACCAGTGGTAATAATATATGTGCCTCTCACCTTAGAATAGTCTTCAAACTGGTAGAATCAACTATGCAGGTGCAGGTACTGAGCATACGTAGCCCTGGAAGATTAGTCCTATAAATTGGCTAAAGGGTATCTTAATAAACGTACTTATACTAGTTATAGCACCTGATAGCTGACCAGGTAAACACTACACCACCTATTCCTGCGGACCCCACCTATGCGCTGCACACCTATATCAGGTGTTCTGTAACAATACCTGACCTCATTTCTCTCAGCTGCTCGACAAACAGAGAGGTCTTTGACCCGTCTGAGGAGGTACTGAGCAAATATTTGTGTGCCCAAACTTGGCCATGTCTGAGTGTAATTAACAAACATGTCTGTCAGCTGGGGGAGGGTCTGTATTGTTGTTAACCCTTACACACCCATGTCCTGTGTACTTGCTGACTGCCCTGTATGTCCAAACAATGCTTCATCAAAACTAGGGTCTTTCTCTTTGCTCCATTTGCTATTTGTCACTTGAGAACACCAATTTCTGACTCACGATAAGGCACTGCCTCCCTGGCCAAAACAACAACATAAAATCTAAAATCACTTGTGATCCTTCCTCGGAAAACTCTGACCAAGACTATTATGTCCATGTAGGTTCATGGTTTGTATAAAACGACAATGTGAGAATATTGGTAATGTATCGTTATATTTTGTAACGTTAATTGTATGAAACGGTTATACTTTGTTCAACGAAATGATAATTGTCATCAAATTTGAGTTGAAGACAAGACTCTCAAGTGGAATCTTGTATATCATACCTTTCATGAATAATGTAAAATAATGAAATCGTAACAACAAGAAACCCTGTGGTTCAGAGCCTCACGTTATACAAACGTTTCTATTGTTATGTTAGCTGCGACAGTTCCACACCTGTTGCAACAGAATTTTAACGTTTAATATATCCCGAGACTCTGACACCACTGGACAAAAATACTTCGAGTAAAATCAGAAACATCAATGCATCAAAAATTGTTAAACCACAGTCTGCTATGATAGAGCAACGTTATCAAGTTGAATGTAACGTTAAACATCATAATTCATGTTTGTTACATTAACCTCTGATCAACTGTCTCACGTATGCACCAGACCAGAGCGCAAAATTATTATTATTACACATAAAATATTTGTCTAAACATCGTACCGCATACCTTTAGCACATTGACAGCGAAGTTCTGACGAAGATTGTTGTCTCGTCCCTTGCTCTGATCTACAGATCGGTCTTTTCAAGTCGTCCCAGCGTCAGAAAAATACCAAATGTCGCAGCGTCAACATCGTCAGAAATGGCGCGAAAACACAAAAGCGTCCTGTAGCCAAGTGAAAAGCACTTCCGGGTCAGGAATGCTCAAAGGTCAATCCATCAGCTGATACACACAGAGGGGGGCGTGTCCACCGGGCAACTTTTTCTGGAGCTCGTAAAAAAGTTTGTGCGAGCGTCTGTCCGTCGTTAAGCATGGCGGAGGTTACGAAGAAGCTCCTGGACTCGGTGGAGACCTGTGTGGATGACATGCTGGAGGGGCTGGTGGCGGTAATCGAACTTTAATAGCATAATTGTTCTCCCCCGGGGCACATTGTGTGGTGTTGTGTTGTGTAGTGCTAAAGTCCACTTGTTGTTGTTGATCAGTGTAACGTTACCTGCACCCCACACATCTCTAACATAAACCTGTTTTCCTTTACGTTCGTAATATAAGCTTTGATGAATATTTATAGAAATACCTTTACAGTGACAGCTATTATAATAAAGGTATTTTGATTGTTTCGTTGTCACCAAAATAAATAATATTTCATTGAACCTATGAATTAACTTATCCTGTTCTCTTTCCATCACCGAGGCTCACTCAAAGTCTATTCTTAGCATGTTTCTGACTAACATAATATGTTATCTTTTCTACATTAAGATTTCCTGTGTTTTTCATTTGTTTCACGTTTGCACTTTGCACAGTGTTGCTAACTTCGTACTTTGATCCTCACCATGGTTTGTGTTACTTTGTACACAAGGTCAGATAAACTTAGCCCAACTTGATGCCAATTGCTTTCAAACACTGGCAACCTGTATAAAAGAATTAAGACAATCTACAGTATGTTTGCAATATGTATAACACAAAATTTATGTTGTTATTGCTGCCATCTTATTTTTTAATTTTTTTTTTTAATTTAGGCCACACCAATTTAATTTGTTGGTTCTCGGATTTTGTCAGAAAAAACATGAAGCGACAGGGCGAAAAAAAATAAAAATAAAAACAGGTCTAGGCATCCTATTATAGGCTTAAATGCCATGAAGTCAACACAAAAGGCTGGGTTAAAATTTAAACAATGAATTTTGAACTTTTAATCAAACCACTGCAATGATAGATGGGAAAACTGTAACAACTAGGAAGAGAAGGACTTTCCTCAACTGTTGGGGGGCAAAACATGAGCATTTTTCAGTTGATTCAGGACCAGAATCAAATTTTTTTTTTTTTGCAAATCAGAAAAAAACGAAGAGGCGAATCCGAGAACCAACAAATTAAATTGGTGTGGCCTTACATGTATTCAAAGGGCTCAGTGCTTAGTGACGTCTTACTCAGAGCTTCTGACTGGAGTACTGCTTCTTGCCACTATATCCTGTTTTGACAACCAGATGAAATTATTTTCGGAAACAACATAACATAGTTTAAGATATGTGGCTGTAGCCTGGTTCCCAAATCTCCTGAGTCCTATATCCTCTCCGCAAATAGATATAGGACTCTGGAGCTATAACTAAGGTTTTGATAACCAGGCTAATGTGGCTGTATTTCCCAGGTAAACCCGGGGTTACGCCTGTTGGCCGGCAACCGTGTGGTGTTACGTGAGGACTGGGAGGGGGTGAGAGCTAACAGGGTGGCTGTGGTGAGTGGAGGAGGGTCCGGACATGAACCTGGCTATCATGGTTAGTACATAAGGCCATGTTGATTTGATTATATGGATGACATCCGCGCGCGCATGAATTTTCGGCCGTTTCCAAAAAAAAAAACTTTTCAACCATATTGTAAATCGTACTAAACAGTTGCAAAATGAGCAAAAATATACCATAAGTTACAAAAAAAATAAGTAAAAACTATACCAATGTCGTAGGATGCCAAAATCAAACAAAAAAAAGACGAAATTGTAAGGAAATGAACTTGAAGATTAGATTATTCGCCAAACCATATTCTGTCCCATTTGTTCAACCCTCATGACCACGTAGATTTCATAATGAAAACAACTTTTTTTTTGCAAAACTTTTTTTTATTCGCACGCGCGCATCAGTTTTGGGGCTCCCGGAGGATGTCATCCATATAATCAAGTCAACATGGCCTAACATTATCATGAAAGTTCATCTGTGTTGGTAGTACATGTTCAAAGTTAAAACTTTAGATCCAACACAACGTTTTCTCTGTGACTGGTTGAAAGCTCTAGGTGAGAGAACTTTATTGTGTTGGATCTTAAGTTTTAACTTTTGACAGTACATGGCATTGTACATGCATGCAGACATGTCATTATAATTCATGAAAAGCTAGTTCATTAAATGTTTGGATTGTTATGAAAAGTAGGTGTCCTATTCCACCTACTTTTGATATTTTCTGACACAAATCTGAGTTATGCACAAGCACAGAAAATATTGAAAAACTGAAATACAGTGTTGACAAAGAAGAAAATTCTATTAGAATGGCTTTCATACACAGCACTTTCTGTATATGAAAGCCGTTCTGATAGAATTTTTTTTCTTGGCTACATTGTCTTTTAGTTTTTCAACACTTTCCGTGCTGGTGCATAACTGAGTTTTGGAGTTTGAATTGGTTGTCATCTTTAAAAGTATGAACTCCAAAGATTTGACTCTATCTTGGTGACGATCTCTAGTTATACAACTTGTGTTCCTGCAGGATTTGTAGGGACTGGCCTGCTGACAGCGGCTGTTCCTGGGAACATCTTTGCCTCACCTCCTCCGGATGACGTGCTCGCTGCACTACGGGCTGTAACGGGACCAGGTCAGGATCACTCACTCACTCACTCACTCACTCACTCACTCACTCACTCACTCACTCACTCACTCACTCACTCACTCACTCACTCACTCACTCACTCACTCACTCACTCACTCACTCACTCACTCACTCACTCACTCACTCACTCACTCACATAGGCTAGTCAGCCGTTGGGGACAGCATGATGTTTGGCAAAGGTTTTCCACTGCTGACGACCTTCTGCCTGACTGGCCATCTAGGCATGCTATGTACAGAAACATAGCAAGGATTTGATTGTGCGTCTCCTAAGGCACTGTTCTTTTGCTTTGCCTCTGTGACATGGATCTTCCTCCTCCAAGCAGAATGCCTTAAAAGTTCAACATCTAAACTGAAATGGAACATCATGGCCCAGATCCATAAAATGACCAACATTTTGTATACATTAGTTACAATGCCGTCATTCGATTTCAACTTTTCCTTAAAGAAATAAATGATGTACAAACACCAATTGATAGAAACTTCCAGCAATCCTATAGATGGCCACACATTATTGCTTTGGTATAGACCAAAAAAATTCCCATCACTTTTCTCAGTATTTGCTTAACTCATCCTTTATTTGCTTCAGCTGGAGCCATCGTCCTAGTTACTAACTACACGGGAGACCGCCTGACGTTCGGGATCGCGGTGGAGAGTGCTCGGGCGGAGGGACTGCAGGTGGAGATGGTGTGTATCGGGGAGGACTGTGCCGTCTCCAGTAAGGACAAAACTGCCGGGAGGAGGGGACTGGCAGGGACCGTGTTTGTTCAGAAGGTGGGTGAAAAACGGGACAAATGTATCTAGCTTCTAGTAGGCTTCGGAAATGGCTGGAAAGAGCAGAAATTGGCCAAATAGACAGATAACATGCCGGGAGAGTTGGTCTGCTACAGGAGTCCAGTTTGCCGCTCCTTTAGGTGACTAACTCCCCTGGCAATTTTGTTATCTGTCTATTTAGCCAATGTCTACTCTTTCCAGCTACTTCAGAAGCCAGGTATAGGCTGGGATGTATTTGAAAACAGCATGGAAAAAAAACACTGTGAAGGCTTTTGCACTATGGGTACTGAAGCAACATTTAAAAAAATATGGTATTCTCCTCTCATTTGTATTTTCTTATTATTTAGATTGCAGGAGCTCTATCTGAGGAAGGCAAATCCTTGGAGGAAATAGTGGAAGCAGTAAAAAGTGCAATCGCCAGTATGGGTCAGTATACTTGTCCTTGCATAACTCAATATATACTTTGTTGATAGCATATGGAATAGTGGTGTGTGATTCAACACTGAGTCTCACAGAGCTGTTTGGCTAGTACAATTTATTCCCTATTGGTTAGGCAGCAATTTCATAGAGTATACATATACCTGAGCTATAATCATAATACACCTAAGATATGCTTAGGCCACACCAATTTAATTTGTTGGTTCTCGGATTCGCCTCTTCATTTTTTCCTGATTTGCAAAAAAAAAAAAAAATTTCAGAATCAACTGCAAAATGCTCATATTTTACCCTGAACAGTTGAAAACAGTCCTTTTCTTCCTAGTCGTTACAGTTATTCCATCTTTCAATGCAGTGGTATCATTAGAAGTTCAAAATTCATTGTTTAAATTTTGAACCAGCCTTTTGTGTTGACTTCATACCTCCTATCGTAGCATTTGGGGCTATAATAGGATGCCTAGATCTGTTTTTATTTTTATTTTTTTTCGCCCTGTCGCTTCATATTTTTCCTGAAAAAATCCGAGAACCAACAAATTAAATTGGTGTGGCCTTATGTCTAAAAGTATGTTTTCTGTTGTACAGGCACCATGGGGGTCTGCCTGTCCCCTTGCAGTGTACCTGGATCAGGGCCAATGTTCCAGGTGCCACACGACACCATTGAGCTGGGTCTAGGTAAACATGTCTCTGGTCAGCTAGACATCTTCCAGCAAAACTTACTGTCTATTACAGTATATCATATTTCAGTGGGAAAAGGAAACTGAATAGCAAAGTTCTTCATTCACAATGACTTGTTTAACCTGTTGTGCAACAAGTGGTTGTGAATTAAGAACTTTCAATCATTCACCAACCTGATGAAATTATTTATGGGTTAAAAGGAAATTCCTCTGTCTAATGTCTAAGTCCTTCTTGCAAATGATTTATCTGGAAAGGTAAATTTGATTGGTAGCAGCTGTTACAGGGACTGGAAAGTGGTAATCCTAAGCCATAGCTAGAAACACCCCATCATGAAATGTGATTTTGTTGGTCATCGTCAACAACGTATGCCAAACGAACAACATTACGTTTAAACCTACATGTACCATTCTAGGTGTTCACGGTGAGGCTGGAGTGGGAAGAATGAAGGTAGGAACATAACTTGGTTAACTGATCTAGTATTTGATTTGAGACATTTTGGTTTATTCAATGTTTCTGAGTTATCTCTGAGACATTACCAGTACCGGTAGATCTGTATCTGTATCTGTATAGCCGGTATAACCGCCTTTCGGCGTAACACACCAACTTCGCAGGCACGCGGCGCGGCGTCAGCTGGCTATATTACACCGATCGACTTGTTACACCTAACCCTTGAACTTCTAGCTCTAGACATTGTCTAAAGCTATCTATTGACAATGCCCCTACTGTACTTGGTGACAGTGAATTCCACTCTGCGATAGTTCTAGGAAAGAATGAATTCTTGAACACCTCAATCCTTGGTTGATAACTCTGGTACTTGAATGCATGGCTATTTCTTGTTCTCTTCTGGGCTGGTATTAGGTAATTAGTAGTTGGGACATCCACTACGGTGTAGTTTACCAGTGACTTTACAAGCTCATAATGCATTTCTGACATCTTCTTTTTATCAAGGACATTATATATATTATTTTCAGATGGATACAGCTGAAAAAGTAGTGGAGACTGTCCTGACTCACATGACCAACCCAGACAACACCAGCCGTATTGAGGTGAAGAAAGGTGAGATGATAGATACATGTTCCCAGCACTCCTGTCTGATTGTAAAGGTACTACATGCATGTGTCAGGAAGGTAGTTGCAGCTTACATGTAAATGTTACATGGTGTAAAGATATGCTGTAGACCAATTTCTTTTGCACATCAAAAGTGGCAAACTGAAACAATTATTTTGTCTCTGAATAGAAAAAAAAAGTGTTATGCACTGTGATTTTAAGAAAAAGCATAGACGGGCTGATACTAACAATGATTACAGGTACATGTATCTATCTTGTAGCCAGATTGCATGTAACATCTGTGTCCATAATATCACCAGGGTCCATAATATCGCCACCTTGAGAAATAGTGTGCTCAAAGATATTTTTACTGCAATATACCCTAGGTATGTACATTTGATGTGTGAAGGAGTGCATACCAAAAGTATGTTGCAGTAAAAATATCTTTAAGCACACTGTTTCTCAAGGTGGCGATATTATGGACCCTGGTGATATTATGGACACGGATGTTATCTACTGGTAAATATATGACATGATTTCTTCAACTCCGACTCTCATCTACACACAGGGGACAGTGTAGCTCTGCTGGTGAATAACCTGGGATCCACTGCTTACCTGGAGCTCTACATCATTGCCAGAGATGCCATCAAGTACCTGGGTGAGTAGTAACATCCGTGTCCATAATATCACCAGGGTCCATAATATCGCCACCTTGAGAAAAAGTGTGCTTTAAGATATTTTTACTGCAACATACTTTTGGTATGCACTCCTGCAAACCTCAAATGTACATACCTAGGGTATGTTGCAGTAAAAATATCTTTAAGCACACTTTTTCTCAAGGTGGCGATATTATGGACCGTGGTGATATTATGGACACGGATGTTATATATTTTGTTAACCAGGATTTCAGCACCAAAGACAGGACCAGTTCTTTAAAGTGAGGACAGTTGTCCAAATTTGTATTTCCTGTTCTTAGTTTAACCTTGGCCAATTAATATCCCGAAAGGAAACACCTAGTCAGTTTGTAAATTTCTGAACTTTGCAAAGTTGACTATATAGGTATATCAAATCACAATCTCTTAAAAACAATGAGAACATTTGGTGATGATAAATTTGAGAAATTGTAAGTACCGGTATAGTGTATGCATGTTTAGGTCAATTTAGTTTATTTTATTCACATGGATTTTTGAGCATTGGATAGGAAGCACTTGGTGTGATTATGTGAATCCGCTGCTCATAAAACATAATACAAAAGTAAACATAAAGATGACATACCGGTAAACAAAAAATAGGTCAATTTGACACAAAGCTTATCTAAAGATTGGGATTTTACAACCTTGGTAAGTTCGACATGTGATGTTATGAATTTACTCTCCAAGCAGAGGTTGTGGGGAATGATCGTTACCTTTTTATATATGGCCGTTTTTTTTGTCCTGATCCCCACCCGTCGGTGGCTAATGGAGCTTCTCTGGCCAATGGATACTGCCTGGCCAATTTGATACTGTCTTTTTTGCCACCGATAGGGATCTGCTTGGAGATTATTATGAATTATGCTCCAAATAAAACGTTTCCTCCCCTTTCCCCAGAGGCCCGTGGTGTGTCTGTGGAGAGGAGTTACGTGGGTCCGTTCGTGACGTCGCAGGAGATGGCCGGCATGTCTCTGACCCTGCTGAGACTGGACGACACAAGGAGGCGCTGTCTTGGTACGCAACTTTCTTTCACTGAAATCACAAAAGACTGAGATTTTCTGTATCTGTATCGGTATAGCCTGTATAACCGCCCTTCGGCGTAACACACCAGCTTCGCAGGCACGCGGCGCGGCGGCAGCTAGCTATATCACACCGAACGACTTGTTACACTTAAATCAAATCAACAATGAATTTTACAACCTATAGATTGTTATACCGTCTGTCTTTATTGGTTTTCCAACCACAAACATACATATGCAGGGAAAGACAAAAGTCTCCCTGAAGTAAGTGGGTAGTTTCTTACAATATAATCAAAACACATAATGCAATACTAGAAAGGCCAATATTTGCTTTGGAGCAAATACAGCGATGGGTTCACCACATTTTACGACATGGCAGGGAAAGAATGAGAAACACAAGGGAAAACAATGATTTACATTGATATAACTATAATATGAAGTAACATACAACTAAAACAACAGTTGGATAGCTATTCCCTACTTTATTGGTTAGGATTTTTAATTGCATAATGCAAACTGTTGATTTTCAAAAAAAAAAAAAAAACGTTCATGCCCCGCATTCCAATGCTGGAGCAGAAAAGCTTGAAATACCTACCAAAACACTTGAATAAAGACATACTGTCAGTATGGAAATGCTCTGTGCAGGTGTTAATCAAGTTAAATCCCAACAGCCAATCAGCAAGAAATGCTCTGTGCAGGTGGAAATGCTCTGTGCAGGTGTTAATCAAGTTAAATCCCAACAGCCAATCAGCAAGAAGTATAGAGGAAAGCTGCATGCCTATTGGTTGATGCCCTGCATTCCATTGTGATGACTCATGCCCAGACGTGTAAACACGGCACACTAACACAGTAATACATTTGCTATAACACAGCCAAAAAACTCAAATAAAACCATTCTAAAAGCCTGTATCACAAAAATTTAAAAAATGCCTAGGGGTATTTGCCCACTGTACCTCCATACCAAATTTCAGGACCTTAGGCCCTAAAATGAAGAAGCTGAATCCATTTGAAAAATGGCAGGAGAAGAAGAAGGAGAAGGAGAAGAAACATCAGTAAAAGCAATATGGGTTCACCACCACTTCGTGGTGTGGTGAACCCATAACAATCAATGAACAATAAACAGCTTAAAGATAACAAAATTGGATGCAATGAAGCTTAGACGTCCAGGTAGAACAGAACACAAAACAAGCATGAAAGTTCAGTAATACATGCATCTGAGTTGGTAAATTACATGATGAGCACAAAATAAATCAGGCAACCAGCTTCAATTCTCTGAAGAGTCAGATGCTTCAGACATCACCTGCTATATTTTGTCAGTGACTGAGACTTCAGACTTTGACACTGAGAAGACGGTGACTTAAGCTCTATACTTTGGCTCCTTGACAAAGGCCAAGTCATTACAGTGTCTGCAAGCGTGTGTCTGCTGTATGATTTTCATGAGTTGTGCAAGTTTTAGTGACAAACCTTCTGGTCCATCCCCCAGATGCGGCGACCACGGCCCATGCCTGGTTCCCCACGTGTCCCTCCCCCAGTACCGGCACCCTGCGCACTACCAGGACTAGGGTACAGCTCTCCACTCACAGTCAGCAAGCAGCAACCACAGATGCAGATGCCACAAAGGTGGACAAGGGTAGGTGATCTGGATAAGAGCTATCTACAGCACACTGGAAAAGTAATTTTCAGGAGCCTCTGTTTATTCATAAAACAGCTCAAATTGGCCTGCCGGCTGCTCTTCATTGAGGTCATTAGGGAAGAGGTAGATTTTGAAAATGGTGAGACATTTTAGGTAGCATCCACTCACTACCTTTACAGGTAGTGACAACAGTAGAATTGGATGCTACCTGATGCTACTCTGGCCATTTTGAAAATGTATCCAGTTGCTTGAGTTAACTGTTATGATCATGATATCTGATTACTTGAATGTCTAACCTTCATCGCCACATACAAGGTTGATTTGTTGTACTCACAGAAACAGCACAGCAGATTTTCTGTGTTGTGTCTGCTGTCTGCAACTCCCTGGTGGCAGCAGAGGAACAGCTGAACGACCTTGACCGAGCCTGTGGAGATGGGGACTGTGGCAGCACGCTGGCCAAGGGAGCTAAAGGTAAGTATCCTTATAGGTTGTTATAGTATTTCTTTAGGTATTCTAATATTGGAAAGGGAAGACTTGAGATGCCAGTAGAATTATAGAAATTTATAAACAACTCCATATCCATAATTGTAGATACATGGATATGCACTCACAGGAAACATATTAATCTTCGACCTGCCAACGCACATGTAGTTGTTTGACACTGAACTTGTAACAAAGTTGGTTATGGGGTTAGGCAGCAGGAGAGGGGTTTAGAAACAATTAGTAGTAGTGACGAATCTTTAATTATGCTGCTGCAGGAGTCCCTGACATGGGGGTGGGCAGCAGTCTAAACACCAGACCTCCACGCCAGCAAGGCGGCACATTCTAATCCCTGCTTGGCACTACTGTATTTTTACACGTCATGTATCTGACCATTCTTACCTGTCCACCAGCCATCCTGTCAGCCTTGGGGCCAGCTGACTCCCCCGGCCTGTTCTGCCAGACTCCTGCTGTCCTGCTACAGGAGATGGCCTCCATCGTGGAGAAGAGCATGGGGGGAGCATCAGGAGGGGTGAGGAACTACTCTCCAAGCAGAGGTTTGGGTTTTGGGGGTATTTTTAGCGTGTTTTTAGGCTTTTTTACCCACCAAACCCAACCTCTATCCACCACAATAAAATGGATATCCCTAATGACAGTTTGATGGTTCCCGGGGTGAGTGCCGGCAGAGGTTGGGTTTGGTGGGAAAAAAATTCAGTGCAAAAGAGAAACCCTGATAAAAAAGCCTAAAAAACACGCTAAAAATACCCCCAAAACCCAAACCTCTGCTTGGAGAGTAGTGAGGAACCACATTTGCTGAAGTAAAGAGATTAACAGCGCATTGAGTAAAGAGCTTTCAGCAGCGTGTACTGTGTCTGTAGGAAACCTATAATGTATTGTTGGTCATTTTTAAGGTCGTATTCACATATTTGAGAATGGCATACTGTCTAGTTTGTGTAGTTTACAAATATCGTGTTGCACTAGGCAAAATTCTCATGCAATGTTGACCAAACATAAAACAAAACCTTGAAAAATTGGGCCTTACACTCTGACATAGCAGTTATTGACTGTTGTTCCATGCAAATTCTCATCAAAGTCCATGACAATTCTGAGAAACTGTTATCAGGTGAACCCCATCTCCTCTAGGTCTCTCATAACTGTTTTTCCCATCTCACCCTGCAGCTGTACAGTCTGTTCCTGACCGCCGGGGCACCATCTGTGATGACAGCTGTCACTCCAGCCTGCTGGACGGCTGCTCTCAAGGCCGGGGTAGCCTCCATCATCAGGTGAGCTGTTACACCAGTCAACCCTTTTTAACGGGAAATGCCTGATATCTTACATTGTTTTTACTTGACTTTTATTCCATAATGAGAAACATTATTCTCCACATACGTCATGGTCATATAAGGTACATTTCTAGTACGGGACTTGACTAACAACATAAAATTTGTAGCTGTATCAAACCTACAAGTCGTCTACTAGTATCTAGTACATACAGTCATCACTAATATTCATAACAGTTTATTGTTAATGTTCTCATTTCTGTGTCTTCAACTGTGAGATTTGCATCATTATTTAGGAAAGAGTGATACATTTATTCCCTTTTCAAGCCTACATGTTATTTTGCCTTTTCTTCAGGTACGGAGGGGCTGATCCAGGTGACAGAACAATGGTATGTTTATTATTGAAATTATTTTATAAAAACAAATGCTAATGTAGTGTAGGCCTGTTTATTAATCAGTATCTGGGGAGGGCAATTTGTAAAGGCCACTTTGTGGAAAATCCAAATAAACAAAAAAAGTATTGCTGATACATGTTAGAAATGTGCATGTATGAATATAATCAAAACAACATACTCTTTGATGCAGTTGGATCCCCTTCATTCAGCCACTGAAGTCCTGCAGGCTCTGCAAGTGGAGAGTGCTGATACCATGGCAACACTCAAGGAGGCTGTAGAAGTAATGGCCTACTCACCTTATTCTGTGTTGAAATTAATTAGCATAATCATTTAACAATCAAAAGTTTATTGCAAATATGTGCCCGAGGGCTAATTGCAGATACAAACAACATGTATGAAAAAGAAGACACAATGCGGATGATGTGAGTCTACGTGACACTACATTCTACAACATACATGTACATGCTACTAATTTTGTTGGGTTTGACTTCACAATACTCTTGGAACGATTCTCTTCCAAAAAGGTCTTTCCTCCATCCAGTCCTAAAATATGATAAACAGTTCTTCCTTATTTACCTGCTATGTATAATGTTACATGTAAGTGCCTAATAAACTTGAGCTACATGTACTGTTACCATTCGCACAGGCAGCAGAGAATTCAGCACAGAGGACAGCTTCCATGGCGGCGAGGGCTGGCCGTGCCAGTTACGTCAGCACGGATCGCCTGACCCGGCCCGACCCAGGGGCACAGGCCGTGGCCATCTGGATGAGAGCTATCTACACCACACTGGAAAAGTAGTTTTCACGATTAGCTAAAAATTAATGACATTGATAATCTAGACCGAGTAAGAAGATATTTTCGGAAACAAAAATGCTGCAGGACAGTGAATTGAAAAAAGTGTCAAAAGGCCAACAAGTACATGTTGAATGAAGTTAAAATGTAATGCTTGCTACTGTAAGCACGTCAGCAGAACGCACTGCACCTGCGCGAAACCCGTAAATGTATTGTACATAGCACTTCGACAGAACGTCTCATACAAGGTTGTACTAGCGCATATAAGATCCCGTCTGTAGCTTCCAAATGTTATGTAGGAAAAGATATCCTTTGCAACAGGCAAAATTCCGATGCAACGTTGACCAAAAATCCACCGAAAATCGTGGAAATACAGGGTTCTGCGCAGGCGCAGTACGTTCTGCCGACGTGCTGCTACTGTAACAAGTCTATCTCAGTTGTGCAATTAGCAAATGGAACCATCTACAGCTGTTTATGATGGCAATTGTTGCTTAGGCCACAGGAAGTAATTTTCCTATTTTTGCAGGGTAACATAAAGTATACAACACAGAGAGTACCAGATTTTATAACAACTTTATTGCTTAGTTAGTCCTTACAATAAAAAAATGACCTCTGACAGGTGTAAAATAAGTAGCCATTCTTGTCAAAGCTATACAACTTAAGTTAAGGTACAAAGAGTATTCATGTACCTGAGTGATCTCAGTGTTGCTTCTGTTAGGAGTAACATACATGTATGCAAAGATCAGAATGTACAAAACAAAACTATGAGAAATTCGAAGATACACAGGTTTTTGTTAAACATTGACTGACTACTTTAGATCACTGTCTCTGGAGACAGATGGTTGCCAACAACTTTAGATTGTAATTGCTTATAAACAGAGATAGTCTTTCTCAACAAATGTACAATGACCACCAGCATAAAATTTACAGGCAAATGACTAACATCTTATTCTAATTTATTAATCAATAAAGCTCCTGGGCTAAAAATTTTCTTCAAGACAAATTTACTTCCAGAAGCCAGCAGGATGCTTCCTGTATTTGGCACTACAGGCTTCTGAACACAGGAAAGCCTCCAGTGGTGCATGTGTGCGTCCTGTAGGGAGAAAAAAATCATTAAAAAAAACTGGAAGAAAGGATGTTAATTAGAAAGGTAACATGCAAGTGCAAAGAAATGTGCATGGTCTAGCTTAATGCTTAACTACAGCTCTGTTCATTGTTAAACACACTGATGACTTTCCTCTCCAACTCTATCCTGCCACTTGCTACATAATGTAATCCAACACCACAGGGTGTCTGCTACAGCACCAGTTGCTTTGGTGACAGACATCTGGACCAGGTCATTGGCCCTATTAAGTTATTTGTTTGGAACAGAAGAGAAATGAAACCAAAACAATGTTTTCCTTCTCCAAAGATAAACATAAAGCTCCAGACTAACAAATGTTTTCATGTGTACCTTGGCTGTCCACAGCAGTAACTGTATGTGCCAGTCTGTGCAGGTCCAGTCTCGCCAGGAAACGAACAAAGTTCTCAAAGCACAGCTGTCCACACAGGCATCTTTTCTCTATACCCAAGTAGCTAATCAGGGTCCGTGGCAAGTCCTCTTCTGTATAGTGAAGTCTTTGATATGAAAATGTAAAATATAAATGTGAGGAGAAAATGTGTGCAGATACGTTTCTCTCGTCAATTGAGAAAGAAATTTCACACAAAGGTACATGCAGCTACATGTAAGGGTTTAGCTTAAGTTTTTTATGCAGCCTATACTATAGTATCAGGCCCAGTTGGTGCACAGACCTATATATCAAGGACCTGGACATATTATGAGGTTTATCAGATTTCAAAGGAATTTTAGTTAAAGTTGGGGAATTACTGTATTGCATATTTACGCCCTACCTGGGCCAAATGCACTAAGATAACTGATGTACAAGGGTAGGAGGAACAAGTGCTACATTACTGTGCAACATCTATGTCTTGTATAAGATCTCTCTTTTTAAAACAACAAGACACTCTCTGCCCTACATCAAAGCTGCACACAAACTTGTGAACCATAACACTGGCCCAAAACATGCCTCATTACCTGTGCTTTTTAACGACCCTGGCAGTGATCTCTAGAAGAGAGGGAAACGTCAGCCTCCCCATCAGTGTGGACGGTCCGTCCTCCAGGAACGGGTTCTCAAACAGGTCCACTGTCTCCAGCTGCAGCTGCAGGAAGGATGCCTGCAAAATGGGAATCAGAGCAAGGTTTGGAAAATGTAAATCTCAACTAGAAAGGTAACAAAGACCCTGTTCATACCAGACTTATATTTAGCGGTTTCAACCGGTTTTTCAAAAACCCGGCTAAAACCCTTAGCGTTCATACCAGACTTTTGATAACCGGTTTTGTAAAAATCCTGTCCGGTGAATATCCAATTAATCGGCCATGACTGCAGTTTGAATAACCGTTCCTCCCGCTCTTCTGATTGTTGTCCTTGGCCTTCTTGCTTGTATGCCGTCTTCAGTTTGTTTTTTTGCCTTAGTGCGGCACTGATCCTTTATCTTCAAGAAATCAGCCTCCTCCAACATTTTTGTTTCGGTAGAGCCCTCGCCCCCCCCCCTAGCTTTCTCGAATTCGGCGACTCCTGCTCTCCAAACCTAAGTATCAGGAGCGTCCCGTCCGCCGACCAGGTTGCGTTTGCTGATTCCATCGCAAAATGAAGAAAAACCGTGGAAAAACAGTGGAAACGAATCCAAGTTGGTCAAAACAACGCGATCAAAAAAGCTTGCAGGTCGCACACGGCCAGGATGCTGACCCCGTGACCCCGGAATTATGACGCAAAAACCGGTTCAATAAACCCTTAGCGTTCAGACCAGGTTTTTTGGTGGAAAACCCCCACAAAAACCCCTCAAAAAC